AAAAAAAAAAAAAAAACAAAAAACACAGCAACCCGTTCTTAATCACGTTCAAACTAAATGGTTCATGAGTTGACAATAAAATTTAACAGACGTGAAAACAAATAAACAAAATGCTAAGATTGGTCTCAGTATTTGATACTGTCGGCTTGGACCCGCTAGTTATCGCCATCAGCTTTACAGTTTTAAAACTGTCTTCTAGATACAGATTTCTTCACACTCAGTCCCATGAACAGACAATTAAATCTTTGAGTGAATCGGATTATCGAATTATATGAACACCAGATAACTAATAAATGTTCTTGAATTTCTTTTTTATAATTTTGAGAGACTTTATATTTTGGGTTGGTGAATTCGTAGATTTATGATGCATGTTATGCAAGATTTTGGTTCCGATTATGAAACCAAGATACATTGCCTGCTAGTCATTGAATTTGAACTCGTCGCCGTGAAATTGATGAATTCATACATGTGAAGCATCGAAAATCCCCTCACAATCTAGAGAATTTCAGAGAGGTGAAGAAATTCTCAGTTCTCATGAGAAATCCGCGCCGCGGGAAACCCTAATTAGTCTCGTCGCTCTCGAATGCTTCCATGGAGAAGAGCATTTACACAATCCTCACCGTTGGTCGCTGGGAGTCACTGAATCACATGAACTATAAGTCCGCTTCACTCAGACCGATTCATGGAGTTCTAGCGTGGAAATTCCTCAAGTGGATTATCAAACAGCCTGGTTTGGAACCCAATCACCGCACGCATATACTCGGTATTACTACTCATATACTCGTTAAAGCTAGATTATACGATCATGCTAAATCAATTCTGAAACATCTATCACTGAGAAATTCTGGGTCGAATTTTCTTTTTGGTGTTCTTATGGATACATACCCTGTTTGCAGCTCAAATCCAGCAGTTTTTGACCTTTTAATTAGAGTTTATTTGCGACAAGGAATGATTGAGCATGCTGTTAATACTTTTTCTTCCATGATCATTCGTGGGTTTAAGCCATCTGTTTATACTTGTAACATGATCATGGCTTCCATGGTGAAGCACTGTAGAGCTCACTTGGTTTGGTCTTTTTTTAAGGAAATGCTTACCAGTAGAGTTCGTCCAAATGTTTCGAGTTTTAATATATTGATGAATGTTCTATGTGTGCAAGGGAAGCTTAAGAAAGCTGTTCATACTTTAACAATGATGGAGAGGAATGGTTATGTTCCGACGATAGTTAGTTATAATACCTTGCTTAGTTGGTGTTGTAAGAAAGGAAGATTTAAATCTGCACTTAAGCTTATTCATCATATGGAAGGGAAGGGAATTCGGGCGGACGTGTGTACTTACAATATGCTTGTCGATAGTTTGTGTAGAAACGGTAGAAGTGCACAAGGGTATTTAGTTTTGAAGAAAATGAGGAAGAAGATGATAACTCCTAATGAAGTTTCTTACAATACTTTAATTAGTGGCTTTGTGAAAGAGGGAAAGATTGGGGTTGCTACTCGGGTTTTCGGTGAGATGACAGAGCTTAATCTTTCGCCAAATCTTATAACTTACAATATTCTACTTAATGGACACTGCATTGATGGTAATTTTGAAGAAGCTTTGAGAGTTTTGGACGTGATGGAAGTGAATGACGTGAGGCCTAATGAGGTTACGATTGGAACGTTTTTAAATGGACTGTACAAGGGTGCGAAATTTGACATGGCCAGGAATATTTTGGAGAGATTTAGAATTGATCGAACATCTCTTAATTTTATCGCATATACTGTGATGATGGATGGCTTATGCAGAAATGGGTTGCTTGATGAAGCCTTTGAATTACTAAGTGAGATGTGTAAGGTTGGTGTTGATCCCGATATCATAACGTTTTCAGTGCTTATAAATGGATTCTGCAAAGCTAGGAATATTAAGAAGGCGAAGGAGATTATGTCTAAAATGTATAGAGCAGGACTCGTTCCGAACACTGTTATTTTCTCTACATTAGTATATAACTCTTGTAAGGCTGGAAACGTTTACGAAGCGATGAAGTTCTATGCTGCTATGAATCTGAGTGGGCAGAATGTTGACATATTCACATGTAATTTATTGGTCACTTCTCTTTGTGAAAATGGAAAACTAGTAGAAGCAGAGGAATTTGTGCATCACATTAGTAGGATTGGTCTTGCACCTAATTCTATTACATTTGATTGTATCATAAATGGATATGCAAATGTGGGAGACGGGTTAAGGGCGTTTTCAGTGTTTGATAAAATGATTAGTTGTGGTCATCACCCTAGTCCGTTCACCTACGGCAGTCTTTTGAAAGCGTTATGTAGGGGAAAGAATTTTCGGGAAGCAAGACAACTATTGAAGAAGCTTCATTGTATTCCATTGGGTGTGGATACTATATCGTATAACACGTTAATTGTCGAGATAAGTAAGTCAGGAAATTTACTGGAAGCAGTTCACCTATTTGATGTGATGATGCAGAATAATATTCTCCCTGATAGTTATACATACACTAATATTCTGGCCGGTTTGATTAGAAACGGGAGATTGGTTTGTGCCATCGTGTTCTTGGCAAGACTCGTGCAAAAAGGCGTTCTATCATTGAATTCAATTGTCTACACCTGTTTGATTGATGGCCTCTTCAAGGCTGGCCAGTCAAAGGCAGCAGTATTTCTTTTGCAGGAAATGGAGGGAAAAGGCCTCTCGTTAGATTCAATTGCGCTTAATTCGATTATAGATGGATATTCAAGGATGGGAAAAGGGTTTAGTGTCCGTTCTCTCATTTCAACTATGAACAACACGAACGTAACACCTAACTTGACTACATTTAACATATTATTACGTGCATATTCCAGAGGACAGGATATAATGACGTGCTTTGTGTTATATAAACGTATGAGGAGAAGTGGCTTTTTACCTGACAGATTAACATACCATTCTCTTATACTTGGACTTTGCAACCATGGTATGTTGGAACTTGGAATTAAGATGTTGAAAATGGTAATTGCAGAAGGTTCTACTATTGATGACGTGACATTTAATATGCTCATTAGAAAGTGTTGCGAAATCAATAAGCTGGATAACGTCATCGATTTGACGAATAACATGGAAGTTTATCGAGTTACTCTCGATGCAGACACACAAAAAGCTATTACTGATGGACTTATTAGAAGGATGGTTTCCCAAAATTCGTTCGTTTTTATGCTTGAAATGCTTGAAAAGGGTTTCATCCCTACGTTTGGACAATATTGCACTTTGATGAAAGGAATGTGTCGAGTGGGCAACATACAAGGGGCGTTTGAATTGAAAGATAAGATGGTGGCACTAGGTGTTAGCTCGGATGATGCTGCAGAGTGTGCTATGGTTCGAGGGCTTGCACTTTGCGGGAAGATTGAAGAGGCAATGTGGATTCTTCGAAGCATGCTTCGGATGCAGAAACTCCCTACTACCAGCACGTTTACAACTTTGATGCACGTCTTATGCAAAAAAGGAAATTTTAAGGAGGCACAAAATTTGAAGAGCCTTATGGAGCATTATCATGTGAAGCTTGATGTAATTACTTACAATGTTCTCATTTCTGATTATTGTGCTAAAGGTGATGTTATAGCTGCACTCGATCTTTACGAAGAGATGAAACAGAAACGTCTCTGGCCGAATATGACCACCTACAGAGTTCTAGTTGCTGCTATTAGTACCGAACAGTATGTTTCTAGGGGTGAAGTACTTCTCAAGGACTTGAATGATAGAGGATTAATTTCTGGGTATTCGGATGGGAAGTCCCAAAGTTCGTGCAGGAATTTCGTAGTTGCGTTGGATAAACTGAACTCTTTGAGGTTCAATCAAGGAAATAAAGCCAAAAACAAACAAAAATACCATTGAAATAGATTGTGAGCGCAAGGAAAAATCTAGTGCTCGATGGGATGGACGAGTATATCTACCCTTTTTTGACCTATTGGTCCTAGTATCATAGGCGACCAAACAACAGAGGATATGGAACTCAATATCGATCTGATACAAACAAGAGGCTATCGCATAATGGCTTTAAGGTTAGGCTTGCCTTATGCTTTTTTTTTTCCAAAAAAAAAACTGTAACCTTTTTGTATTTTTTGCTCGAGAACGTTTTTTTATCTGTGTACTGAAATGTCTTTTCATTTCCTCGAGGTGTATTGCATTCATGTGCTTGCTTGGCTAACGTGAAATTTGTACGATCGAACGTTTAATGGGAATATACATAAGAGCAAATGGATCAAAGAGCCAAATAAGGCAGCATCAGCTGGTATTAGCTGCTAAAGCCTCTTTCATTGCTGTATCATTCTTCTCTTTGGATGTTCTTTATGTTTCCTTATTTCTTTGAGATTTAAGCTACATTTGCTGCCTTCTACCTTACCTTTTACACATTTTTTTTTTGTGGCAGATGCTTCTCAACTATGGGTGTTGCGAACGAAGAAGCACAGAGGTATATATCGTTATCGATGTTATGGGATTATGCGGATACGTGAGTCTTCTCTTTAAAAGATCACGTGTTTGTGTTTTTAAGAAGATATCTTACGGTTACGTGATACAAATCATTCATAGTTAAACCTGTCTGATACAAATCGTTCCTAAATGTCAAATTTTAAGTATTGGCATAGCTGAAATGTTCCATTTCTCACGACTCCCCATCGTAGACTACCACCGTGAGCTGATCGTGCTTTGCTAATGGTCATCTGCCTCCATCTACCAAGTGGAAAAGAACCAGGTCTCGTAACATTTGCAACCATGGTGGACACCTTCAGCCCGATCTCAACGATAAAGATTAGGTACGTAGCCCTCATTGTGAACATTTAGAAACTAATAAGAGAACGTTTGACTCGATACAAATGACAAAAGATTCGCTTCCCCTCCCTAGCTTGTAGCCTTGAAGTTGCTCGAGCTCCTCACGAGCCAATGCATTGAGTAGCTCCAACTCATCAGACAGAGTACAACAGAGGTCAGTGCTCCTTCGTTATGGTCTGAAATACTAGATGAATCCATGTCTCCAAATTTATTGTTCGTTATTATCCACTTTCAAATTATTAAATCATTTATGTTCTTGATTTTCGTTTTACCAACACTTTTGAGGAACTTTTCTCTAGTTTTGATGAGCTTACTGGTTGAATAATCCTTCAATTCCTTCCAATGATACTTATGTCTCTAAAAGAAAGAGAACGTTGTTCAAAGCGACCGCTAGCGGATATTGTCCTCAAGGATTTTAAAACGTGTCTGCTAGGGAGAGGTTTTCACACTCTTATAAAAAAAATGCTTCGTTCTCCTTCGGGGCCAGCATCCTCGCTGGCACTCGTTCCATTCTCCAATCGATGTGGGACCCCCAATCCTCCTCCCTTTGGGACCTAGCGTCCTTGCTGACACATCGCCTTGTGTTCACCCCTTTTGGAACTTAGCCTCCTCGCTGGCACATCGCTCGGTGTCTGGCTCTGATACCATTTGTAACGGCCCAAGCCCATCGCTAGCAGATATTGTTCTCTTTGGGCTTTCCCTTTCGGGCTTCTCCTCAAGGTTTTTAAAACGTGTATGCTAGAGTGGGGTTTCTCGCCTATTTGTACATTTTCAACTTATTTTTTACTGATGAGCACCACCAAAAAAATGCCACTCTCAAATTTGTTTGTCTATGTTTTTGCTTTGGATCTTCTTTTATTTTTAATTGAATGTTACAAATTTTTGTTAGTATCAGATCAATTGAAAGGAACAATGGTACATTTTTGCTTATAGTGATTACCCTTTTGGTGAAGAAGTCTATGTTGGTTCAATATATTAGTTAAAATGCTTGAATATACCGTAAGACAATTTGTGAGATCCCACATCGGTTGGAGAGAGGAACGAGTGTCAGCGAGGACGCCGGGTTCCAAAGAAAGGTGGATTGTGAGATCCCACATTGATTGAAATGGAGAATGAGTGCCAGCGAAGACGCTGGGTCCCAAAGAAGGGTGGATTGTGAGATCCCACATCGATTGGAGGGGGGGAACGAGTGCCAGCGAGGACGCTGACCTCGAAGGGGGTGGATTGTGAGATCCCACATCGGTTGCGAAGCATTCTTTATAAGAGTGTGGAAACCTCTCCCTAGTAGACATGTTTTAAAAACTTTGAGGGAAAGTTCGAAAGGAAAACCCAAAGAAGACAATGCCGGCTAGCAGTGGGCTTAGGCTGTTACAGCAGTTTTCATGACCTTTAATTGAAATGGGGTTGAACTGAAGCCATTCGATGAAAATTTCCTTTTTCGAGAAAACTCCTCTGTCTCCGGTGCCGAACTTTACTTTCTTTTCAGTCTTCTTTTGGAAGCTTGCTTTTGTTGTTGACATCTAAGCTTACATTGTTGTACGATTCATTAATATTTTGTAAACAACATTTAAGAAAAGACACTAAAAAACTGTACATGAATTTTGGAGCTGAGGTTTTTCTAATTACTGATACATTTTCAGGGAGCTTTTCTATTCCGTGAGGGGCAAGCTACAAATAAAGGAGAGTAAAACACATGGATAATGCTAAATGGAGTAACTGAGGTGAGCTGTCTTCATATCTCAAATGTTTTCTTTTGAAAAATATCTAGTAAGGGCTTATTTGGACCGAAAGAGACCATTAAGCGGAGCCTTATCGGAACATTGAGTTGCCTAAATTGTCAGATGATGCTACGAGGGGTCTTATTTATTATTTCTTTTGAGGAACGGATCTTAGCCAATTATCGACTTAGAGTTTCGTTAGAGCACCAGAAGGCGCGCACGTAGGTGGGTTCTCCCCAATTTTTGGGCTGCTAAACTTGAGTGGGTCTAAGTACGAAAAATGAGTCATGCAAGAGACCGTTAAACGGAGCCTTGTTAGAACATTGGGTTGCTTAACTTGTCAGATGATGCTATGTGGGGTCTTATTTGTCATTTCTTTTGAGGAACGGATCTTAGCTAATTATCGGCTTAGACTTTCGTTAGAGCACTAGAAGGCGCGCGTAGGTGGGTTCTCCCCTGTTTTCAGGCTGTTAAACTTGGGTGGGTAAATGAGCCATGCAAGAGACTGTTAAGCGGAGCCTCGTCAGAACATTGGGTTGCCTAACTTGTCAGATGATGCTATGTGGGGTCTTATTTGTCATTTCTTTTGAGGAACGGATCTTAGCCAATTATTGGCTTAGACTTTCGCTAGAGCACTAATAGATGCCCATCAGTGGGTTCTCCCCTATTTTCGGGCTGCTAAACTTGGGTGGGTCTAAGCACGAAAAATGGGTCATACAAGAGACCATTAAGCGAAGCCGGTTTTTTTTGTCAAGCTTTTTCTTTGTTTGACAATGGGTGTATTTTGTTTCTAGCTTGATATGGACTCTGGACCTGCGATTGTCTCGTAGGCAAAACCAAGGAAAGGACAAAATTTCATGTCACTATGACATACATGTCGTGATTATTTGTAATATTGCGTTTGTATGTTAGTTTCCATCATTTCGCGATTACATATTAAACACGATAGAAACTACTAAAAAGTGACATTTCATGAGTTTACGAATAATTTAAAAATTCTAGTAAAATTAGATATATTTGTAAAATTGAGGTTGAAATGGATTATCCAGGCAAATTAACCCTAAATGAACGAACAATCCGACACAAAAGAGGAGGGTTCTTTCATGGAGCTTTAAGCTCAATTTTTTAAGAACGGTGGTTTAAACTACGTAACGTTTCAATTTTTTTTTTTTTATCTTGATCTACACAAGAGTGTAAAACTCGTCTTTAATATATTTTTTAATTTAAAAAACTATATAATAATTTTTTAAATATTAAAATATGGGTTGAAAATTTAAACAAATCAACATTAATTCTATCATAAAATAAATGGTTAATATCAATATTTAAAAAAAATTAAACTTATTGAAAACAATGTAAAATGCTAATTATCAGTTTAAATAAGATTTATATTTATAATTTTTTTTTTCATATAAAAATCATGAATATTTTAATTTTAAAATTTTTAAAATTTTAATTTTTGAGTTTTTTAAACTTTTATGGGGCGAATTTGAGCAATTGGCTATCGTGAGCGTCAAACGTTAAACGGCGTACTTTAGCAAATGACAAAGTCATTCCAAGAGGATGACGAGGGAAACTCTGCCAAGATTTCCACGCGCGATTCCAGATTAGGGTTTCTCTCTCTCTCTCTCTCCCCTCTTTGTGTGTTCTTCTTCTTTTCTTCTGCACTTGTTCCGTAATTGGGGCTTTGATATCTGAGTTCTATCTTGTCTTGCTTACTTTTAAATTCATCTCGTAAGTGCTTTAATCGACTTTTTGATGTTTCCTGCATTCGATTTCTGAATTTGAATGAATCGCTAGAGGAGGTCGTTGAAGAAGCTAGAAATGGATGAAGGAGAGGGAGGGCTTGGTGTGGGTGCGGATCAGATTGATCAGTTTCATCGGAACGAGGCGATTTCTGCCGTTGCTGATGATGGTTTCTTAGGCGAAGATGAGGATGAATATGAGGACTTGTACAACGATGTTAACGTTGGGGAGGGGTTTCTTCAGTCGTTGAGGAAAAACGATGATTTGGGTTTCAAGAGCGAGGAGGAGCCTAAGATGGAGCCTCCTGCTGCTGTACCACCCACTTCCGGTGCTTCGATACCTGGTTTTGGCGGAGGTACGACTGATGTTCCTGGTTTGGGAGATGGTGGGCACAGTGTTGCGGAAAGAGTAACTGAGGGTTACAATCAGATTCCAGATTTAAGAACAAATGAGATGGCTATCAGAGTTGGGGCGGGATCGGGGCCACCTATGGGTGGTGGAGGTGGGATTAGGGTTGAATTAGGACAGGGGAGTAAAACCAATGAGTTGGAGGAGCGAAGTAGTAATAATGTTGCTGCGCATCAGGCTCCGCCACAGCAACAGCCACAGCCACTGCAACAGCTACAGCCACCGGCACAGCCACAGCCACAGCCACAGCAACAGACACAGCACCACCACCAAGCGCAGCAGGGCGGAGTTTTAGGAAATCCAGTGAGCGTAGAAAACGAAGGTTTGCTAAGGCAAGGTGGTGGCGTAAATGTAAATGGGGTTGGTGGAAATGGGTTCGGTAATGTGGGGAATGCAGGGGGAGGTGGAGGTGGAGGTGGAGGTGGAACCATTTTGTTTGTTGGGGATTTACATTGGTGGACTACAGATGCGGAGCTGGAGGTGGAACTCTGTAAGTATGGTCCGTTGAAGGAGGTTAAGTTTTTTGACGAGAAAGCCAGTGGGAAATCTAAAGGCTACTGCCAGGTTGAGTTTTATGATCCTTCTGCTGCCACGGCTTGCAAGGAGGGGATGAACGGGCATATGTTTAATGGACGGCCGTGTGTTGTTGCATATGCATCACCATTTAGTGTGAAGAGAATGGGAGAAGCCCAAGTGAACAGGAACCAACAGATGGCCCAAGCTACTAATCCTCAAGCAAGGAGAGGTCCTAATGATACTGTAGGTAAAATGGGTGGAAGTAGCATTGCGACGGGTGGTAATTATCAAGGTGGTGATAATAACAGAGGTTCTGGGAGAGGTAATTGGGGAAGAGGTAATGCACATGGAATGGGAGGTCGAGGGCCTGCTGGCCCAATGAGGAATAGGGGTGGTGGAATGGGTGGCAGAGGTATAATGGGAAATGGTGGAAATGGTTTTGGTCAAGGAATGGGTGCCACCCCTCCTTTGTTGCATCCGCAGTCAATGATGGGTCAAGGTTTTGATCCATCTTTTGGTGCACCCATGGGAAGAATGGGCACATATGGTGGTTTTCCTGGAGCTCCGGCTCCCCCTTTCTCTGGAATTTTATCATCCTTTCCCCCTGTTGGGGGTGTTGGCCTTCCTGGAGTAGCTCCTCATGTGAACCCAGCATTTTTTGGAAGAGGTATGCCTATGAATGGAATGGGGATGATGCCAACATCGGGTGTTGATGGGCCTAATATGGGAATGTGGTCTGACCCTAGTATGGGGGGATGGGGCAGTGAAGAGCATGGTGGAGGGAGAGCTGGCGAGTCTAGTTATGGAGAAGAAGCTGGGTCTGACCAGCAATATGGTGAAGGTAGTCATGAAAGAGGAGCCTGGGCAAATTCTGCAAAGGAGAAAGATAGAGGATCCGAAAGGGATTGGTCACAGTCTTCTGATAGAAGGTATCGAGATGATAGAGAGAGATCCAAAGAAAAGGATCCGGGGCCTGACCATGATTGGCCAGATAGAAGGCCACGTGATGATAGAGACATAGGTCGTGAAAGGGACAAGGATAGGGATCGGGATCGGGATAAGGAACGATCTCGAGATTATGAGCGGGGCCATCATGATCGTGATCGTGACCGTGACAGGGATCGTGACCGTGATAGGTACAAGGAAGATAGGGACAGATATTCTGATCATCATAGGTACAGAGACCGGGAGCCAGAGCATGACGAGGATTGGGAAAGGGGACGGTCGTCAAGGACTCATAGCAAGTCCCGATTACCACAAGAAGAAGAAAATCGTTCTAGAACAAGGGATGCTGATTATGGGAAGAGGCGGAGGCTTACTTCTGAGTAGCTGAATAATTCAGCATACATGCTTTAATGTTTAAACTATATAGAGTATTGCTTTCCATGTTCATTTGGGTTCTCTCTTCGAAGTTCTGGGCTCGTTGATTCATCATTGCTCTTTTGCCTATGCTGTTTATTGTCTGAACCTCGGCGTATGTCTCTCTACCTACAGGAGCATGGTCTGATTGTTTGCAAAAAAATGTAAGTTCATACAATCCTTTTCCTTTTCCCAAATTTCCAATATTAAATTCTGGTCGATTTTGTTGGCTTCGTTTTGTATACTAGGTCTTGAAATATGGACATGCTAATTAACGACGTTGTTCGAAACTGCATCCCTTTAGAAATGGATGTTTACTCTATTAATGCTCTAATGAAATTTCCTCTTGGTGCAGCTATAGTAGGTTTTTGGTTTTTAGAACTAATACCATTGTTGACTTTATTACTATATTTATACCTTCTATTGTTGTTTTACCGACCTCATTTTTCACTATGTTTACATTTCCATTGGATAATTATCAAGGTTAGCATTTCTTTATAATTAAATGGTTTTTTTTTTTTTTTTTTTTTTTTT